CAGCGCTGGAGGATCAGAGCGGGGAGTGGGGAATCCAGCCCCTCCCCTGTTACGGCAGAGAGCCGTGACAGGATTGAGAAGTGAGCAAACGCCGGTATGTGTTCGCTCACCTCCCGATCTACTGAGCCGACCTGTGACAGTCTCACTGTCACAGGTCGGCTAGAACTATGAGCTGAGTGAAAAGCACTCACCTCATAGTTCTCCTTTTAACTCAAGGATGGGCAAACTCCAGCCGTAAAGCTGTGGTGGAACTACAAATCCCATGAGGGGCATTGCAAGATTCTCACAGCCACAGGCATGCCTCCCAGAGACAGATGCATGATGGCATTTGTAGTTTCACCACAGCTGGGGAGCCAGAGTTGGCCCACCCCTAGTTGAATTAGTAAGTCTCGTTCTGTCTTACCATGCTAAAGCATAGATGAGATGTTAGTGATTCCGGTTTGATCTATTTTCACCTACAAAATTACAAATATAAAAACGGACGTCTGTAAATGCGTGGACCTGAATCAGAGTGCGGTCACCCTATAACAGGAAGTACCTGAACAAGGAACTTCATGGCAGGATCACCAGGGATTGTTTTAGAGCCCATTTACACTTCAGCTGGGTTAACACCATATTCTAGACAAGATCTGGAACACAGTGCATTGCGTTTTTGCCGCGTTTGGAATTTGTTTTTTTATTTGCTTAAAATGGTGCATCTTAAAAAGGTGCATTCCAGTGTGTTCCATGCGTTTTTGATGCGTTCCAGACCAGACAAAATAGGACAAGCAGTATTTTTCTGGTCTGCAACAGACTGTGCTGGTGGGAACAGAGGCCAGGAATAACATAGGGATACATTAGGATGCATTTTGGGTCCGGAAACAGTCTGGTCTGGTGTTAATCTGGATGTGGTGTGAAAGGGCCCTCAGGGCAGGTTCATACCATTTTCCGGTTCAGAGCTGCCCTGGAAAATGGTGTGAACCTGCCCGCAGTTCCAGTGCATTCCAGACCAGACAAAATGAGACGTGCATATTTTTCTGGTCTGGAACAGACTGCGCTTGTGTGAACAGAGGCCAGAAATAGCATAGGGATAAATTAGGATGCATTTTGGGTCCGGAAACAATCTGGTCTGGAGATTATTTGGATGTGGTGTGAATATGCCCTTAATCCAGATCAACTTTAGACCAGACCAGGCCGTTTCTGGACCCAAAATGCATCCTAATGTATCCCTATGCTATTTCTGTTCATTCTGTAACCTGTACATACCTCATGGTCTCTGAACATAGGAAACAAAGAAAAAAAAAAAAGGCTTACTTTGAAGTTACATTAACAAGGTAAAGATTCTATAAAATATTTCATAACATAAACCCGACTTGCAGCATAGATTATATCCATCAATACACACTGGTATTTGTACAGGAATGGCACACAATGCTATCCAGAGTATTCGTGGTATAGAGGTATCGGAATGTCCCACGTGACCTTGTACTGCAGTTTGTAGCTATCCATGAACATTGGTCTCTCGTCAAATATTATCAACATCCTCTCCCGCGCCGTTTTCTATCAGATTTGGACCCCCTGACCTTGTGCCAAGCTGGACAGAAATATAGCTGTTCCATTTCTGCCACACTCAGGGAGCCAGGCGTTCAAGAAGAGCTCACAGCGCAGTCACTGGAGGACGAATTCCATTTGCGCTCGGATAACAAGTGTGAAAAACAGATGTATTAACTGCTGGGCACCGACCAGCACAGCGACAACGTCTGTTTTCTCCAGAATGATGGGAATGGGCATCTAGGGCACAATCTCTCAGTAATGTTCCTGTATCATGGTAGATTCAAGTCCATTGACAGAGTAATACAGAGAGCTAGACACAAATCTGCTAATGTGCCGGGACTCATAGTATGACAGAGCTGTATAATATCAGGAGGTGGATGGCACAAGATCCATAAAAGAAGTCTAATTTCACAGGGTCATGTAGAATGGATGAATAGGAGCAGGCACTGGGTAAGCGGCATTCACGAGCGAAAAGGACTCTAAAAGTACTACAGATTCCAACCTGGAAGGAAAAATAGGATCGCCACACTCCAAGCTTGGCCAATGAATCTTTACTCACCGAAACAGCACACTAAATTTCACAAAGGTATCCAACGCATTTCGGGGGTTCAGAACTACCCCCTTCATCAGGGCCTGTGGTATTTGTGTGTGTGGTGGAACACTGGATGTGGTTGTGTGTGTGGTGGACACTGGATTGCTGAGAGGATGTCAAATAGATGATAACTGCTAGCAGGCATGCTTCTCAGCTGCCGGCTGTAGCCTCCTGAAAAAATGATAATAGCCTGGCTGTGTTTGACTCAAAGAAACACTGTTATGTTACATTGCTCATGCAGGGCAAATTGATGGCGTTTCCAGCAAAGGGCCACCCCAACTACTCCTATACCAGCAATCCTTTGCCACTCCCTCCTCCACAGCTGGCACTGAAATGACTGGCGTCTGCAACTCAGAGGAGTGGTGACGTCACTCCAATCGGTCACGTGACATTGCTCAGGTCTAGTGATTGGCTGCTAGATCCGAGCACTGTCGCATGCTTCTCCATACCTGGAAGTACAAGTCATTGTGGGCAGCTGTGGAGATGGAAGGGGTGCTGGTAAGGTGAGGGGTTGGGGCAGGCCTTTTAGATAAACGCTGTCATTTTGCCCTGCATGGACAAAGGGATAATGTCTCTGTAAGAACTTTTGAGTCAGAGGCCCGGAACAAAAATGCTGAAAATCAGTGTCAGAATGCCTCATCTCAGAACGACCCAGAAAGCACTGAAGCAAATGCATCAGCATGACAGCCAGGGAACTAGTAGTCTCCAAAGGAGAGGTCAGCATTGGCAGCCTCCACGATTCTTAAATGACAGGGTGCCTTTAATTTGAAGAATATTATCACAAGTATCTGCTGACACCGTGCATTGCCTGCACTTCAGCAGGTCCCATTTTTAGGACCCAACAGCCAATCTTTTGATTTTGTTTTGGGTGGTGCCGGGAGGCATTAGAACCTCGAACACATTTGTATTGTTGTCTGTGCCCTGACTAGATGATGCAGTCCTAAAACCGCACTCCATACAGCGTTCTGACCAAAACAGCAGATGGCATGGTCCACAAGTCACAAATAGAAGGGTCACTGTGTCTTCTTAAGGAAGGGACCCTGCGTGGCCCCAAAACGTTGGTTATATGACCTATGCGACCTATGTAAATAAATGTACACTGATTTCTTCATCATGGAGTGCCGGGGACCTTTCTTTCCCACCACTATTTCTATTCACTTCCTGTCAGGAGAGAAAGTAATGGAAATCTCTTTGATGAGGACACAGTACAGTATAGTGGTCGAACCTAATAATCGGCTAACTAATCGATTTTGAAAATAATCGTTAGCTGCAGCTCTAGAGGGGTTAGAACATATTATGAAAATAGGTCTATTGCTGTGGGTGTCACAGGGACAGGAAGCGAGGTGAAAAAAAAGAACTAGCAGGAGTTGGACTCCATAGTCGAATTGTTTTTAAACCCAGACATATCTTGGCCTGATTAGGATAGGGCACATTACTAGCAATCAGGTAACCATCAAATGCTTTAAAAATAATGCCAGAACTACCTTTTATATTCTTGTTTTGCAGGCCACTTGACTATGTTTTCCTCCTTGCTGTACATGGCTCGGGTGGATGGGCAGGTCTTACCTGCAGTGACATCAGCAAGACATGGCCACCTTCCTGGGCTGAGCAAAGTGGATCGGAGCCGTCAGTCGAGGCATCTGATCTACCATGCAGGCATTGCTTTCTGTGAAGTGGGCAACTAAGAGGATCGAGCCATAGTGAATCATGAGTAGAACAGAGTGTGGCCCCGTTGGCACGCCTCCGTTCGACACAAGGATCTGCAGTCACTGTTCTGCTATTCAACCACCACTACCGGGAGCGGTAGTGGTGGTTGGGTGGGAGGGCTTTGTGGGGCAAGGGTGGAACGACCAGTGTATGGCCAGTATTACTTGTTAGAAGACTGAGAGCATGTGCACTGTGGTGGCAACTAGAGATGAGCCTGGGCTTAGTGTGAATCAACTTGCGTGAATCCGCTCAAGCCCACTCAAAACTGTGGCTCCCAGGCCCAATCAGTGGCGGCAGTTGCGGTGGGGGCATTCCCCGCCCCTTTGTGACGTATATATATCTGCGGGATGTGGAATGCTCCTGGTCGCAACTGATTGGATCAGGATGAGGGGGTGGCTGTGAAAGTTTTGAGCAGACCTGGTCAAACTCGGGTGAACAAACTGGGTTCACGCCAGGCCCAGCCTTATCACCAGTGGCAACACTGCAGAGGATGAATGAGTGTGAAGATTGTAACTGGGAGGATCAATGGGTCATTTCGCTAAAAGCAAAATGTACGGTAATTAAAAACATAAAAGGGCATACAGTAATTAAAGCATACTTTTAAAAAGGAGGCTTTACAGTTTTTCTGGGTTTACAGCTACATCATGCATTAAAGCATAAAAAGCCCTGTTGTTTTCCTATGCCCCATGTATGATAGAGATAGGGGGTGACACATATAGTGACCATAACACCTGGTAAGATATCCCCAACTGCTACTCTGAGTGCCAATCTGATTGTGCTAGGCCAGTGGTCTTTGCCCTTTAGGACGCTGCTATCACACCGCTCTCTCTCCAACATGAGAGCTTCTATCAGAGCTACTGGTGATGGAGACAGAATACAGGAGCATATGTGACACTGTGAAGGGGCTGAGTGACAGCCAGACAAAGTCAATCTCCCTCCAAGTCACAATCAGTAAAACTCTACTAGACGGGACTGGAGCTGAGCAGGGGGCAGAGGAAGCTACAAATCTAGAGAAGGAGATTACAGAGGACTCAGCGGGCTCTCTATCCGAGACATGGGGGCTCCTGCCAAACTCTACTGAACACGAGAATCATTTCTGCTCTCCGAAGGAGACGAGACTTTGGGGTTTATTTGTGTGAACTGCCGGAGACGGATAGAAGATCCGAAAATGTTTCACACCTTCATCCGCCAGGCCAAAGCTTCTTACCGGCCTATGCCCAACAACATGGCTCCACGGCCCAGCGTGTTCTGCAAAGGCAATGTAGTCTCTGAGACGGAGATGGACTACGTCCACGTGGCTCCAGGAGGTAAGACAGCAACTTTATGCTGGTTTATTCCCAATACTATATGACCCAGGCATGAAAAACTGGTTCTCTGATGTTTTTTAGGCTGCAAGTGGTCCTGAATGAGGCCCCAAACATCTCCATAGCAAATGCCTGAGCATTCCAATAGTGTTCATAAGAAATGTTTTCTGTCCCCTTAAACATCGATGAACTGGAGTAAATTTGACACATGCAGCTATTATAGTAAAGTCAACAAGGTGCTTTAGTTGATTTTGGAAATAGGTAGAGGTGGCCCTCAGTATATAAAATGTGGCCCCTTTAAAGGGCTATGCTGCTTAGTTTGGTCCTCTGCTTCACTAGATTAAAGATCTAATACACATTGGTCTGTGTAATACATATACTGTACATGACCTGCTATGCACAAAGGCCAATATATAAAGGCTAAACAAGCAGAGGATCTGAACTGGAAATCACAGCTGTGGAGGAACAATTCAAGTGTATGTATACCCAGGTATATAGGTATACAGGTGGAACCTGATGGACCTGTGTCTTTATTCAACCTCACCTACTATGTAGCTATATAACCCAAGAACGCATATTTAATATACTGCAGCTTACCAGTGCTTAGATGTGGGGGCTGGATTAGTTTTCTTTTCCCAGGCTAAGTACATTTTCTATAAGTACAGAAAAATACACGTCGATCCTGCCAGAAAGCCAGCGTGCTTGTAACTTCCTGCACACTAAACATAAAATCTTAAACAACGCCATCAGATTTCCAAATTATCTTCTATGAACTACAACACAAACCCCTCTATTTAATGAAGATGAGGAATAGAGGGTGTTCTATAGCCCAGTCTTAAAGTGACAACACTGCTCCTCCATAGATACAATTTAATAACTAAATGTTGTCACACTGGGGCAGGAAGTATGTTACTGGCAGGATCACCAGCTGAAAAAATCCTGGGAAAAGAAAAAACTAATGCAGCCACCAGCCTGGCAAGCTGCAATACTGTATATGACATTTTGCTTAGGCTATAGACCAGCCTCTCAACCAGGGTGCCTTCTGACGTAATTAGGGGTGCCTTGAAATCTTTGGATAGCGTCATGCCTTGGTATGTTGCAGGCAGGCTCCTGCTGTGTAGGGGGAACTCTGATATGTAAGTGGGGGATGGTGGTATGAAAGGGGGGCTCTTGATGAGAAGGCGAAGCCCCTACTGTGAGAGGGTGGACTGTGATGTGAAAGGAAGGGGCTTCTGATGTGAAGGGGGCTTCGAATGTAATGGGGAACACTGATGTGAAAGGGGTATTTGTACATGTCACATCGCACTCCTGACTCCTGAATTCTTGGTGGGTGCTGTAGTGACAAGTGGATGGTGGGGTGCTGATGTGAAAGGGGGGTCTCTAGTGTGAAGGGAGAAACACCAATGTTTTGTTTTTGTTTGGAGTAGCTTGTTAAAATCCATACCAGACCACTATCTGGGATAAGGTTTTGGTATAAATTTTAGAGGGGCAACATGTTGTTTTTTAATAATTTTTTTTTTACAGTTTAGACTGGGGTGTCTTAAAATTTTGGATACTTTTAAAGGGTGACATGAGTGAAAATAGGTTGATAAATGCTGGTTTAGACACACATTTCCCCATAAGGGGAAAAGAGAGTAAAAATGCCATCGACAATCTGCAAAAACCATCTGCCATGACCAATGCTTCTTATGACTGGAAGTATCACCATCACCCCTTGTGGGAACCCAAACAAGCCCAACACAGATGGGACATTTATGGTCTCCGGCCTACATTGCCCAGAGGCAGTTCTGGCCTTTTGCATTCTTTGAGACCAACATTGTTTTGTCTGAAATTCCCCTTTAAAGAAGAAAATACAAAAGCGGGATATTTAGCAAATCCAGAAGCATATAGACGCATTGCCTTGGTTTAAAAACTTTCATGTGGCGGGAGGAGACTGCATCTGCAAATGAGGATTTTGGACTCAAATTCTCAGCTGCCGCACATCAAATGCGTATCAAATATGGACGCAAAGTGATGGAGCAGGTGCAGAAAATGTAACAACGGCCATATCACGACGGCGAATGTTACGGAGATCTGGAATATCCAGTTCAAGTATGGAGAATCAGATGTTGGGCAGTGGCTGCAAACGAGGCTTCCCCAGGCGCTCAGCTGCGAAAGAGCAGCGAATGATTGGCAAATCGAACATTTGAATCCGTCCCCTTTTTGTTGTTACAGATCCCGTGCCATCAGCATGATGACGTTACTGATTGCAGCTTGAGTTTCCACAGTTATTTCCTTTCTATTGTCCAACAATCTCCTCCCTGACATGCCCCAATTATTGCTGCGCATGTAAAGCGAGTTCCAAAGGCCATTAATTACACGAGTAAAAGAAAAAAAACCAAGAGAGACCTTCCACATGCTGGAAGCAAAATCGGAGGACGCTGGGTATTTGTCAAAGCAGAAAACCGAGACGTCCGTTACAATTGCGTCCGTATTCGGCAGAACTTCATGTTTGTTTTTTTGTTGCTAGAATTCTGCGGGATGTCTCTGTGCCTCATGGCATCTGAATCCCGCTGGAGGCTGCGCTGTCACCAAAGGTTCTAATTACATGCAAATAACAGAGAATACGCTTTTAATTCTGCGCTTGCCTTCTTTCTAAGGTTACACATAGCGAGATATCATTTGTTATGGGATGACAGTACTTTTGAATATATGTCCTGTACACCAAGCAACTTTGCAAATATAAATTCTTCCCCCGGTCTTTCCCTTGCCTGAAGATGTGAGAGCACTCCTCACAGACACCAGCCAGTAGGAAAAAACTGCTTTGTTTACATTCTGCATGTCTGCACTTTACTGTGTAGTGAGCAACATGACTGCAGACCAGGACTGAGACACCAGCAGCTGATGCAACCCACCAGACCCCCACCTTTAACAGAATTAAGATTTTGTTTGGAGGACCCTTTAAAAAGGTCTGTTGCAAAGACTTCCCCAGTCTTAAAGTCAATCTCAGGGCAAACCCCATCCCTGACACCCATGCACAATCCTTAAAAAAAACCTAAGCCTTTCTTAACATACCTAAATATGGCATCATGTGACCCTGTGTGGGCGCGTGTTCCTGGAGCGAAGATTGGTCATACACCGCCGCAGTTCAGGCCTGCCATTGACCGGTCTTATAGGTGTCCCTCATCATAAAAAATCACCATCCCACTGCTGGGGTCCTCAGGACCCTTGAAGACTTCACTGATGGACACCATGGGAAGTGCTCACAACCCCAGGCAGCAATGTGGGCAACTGAAAAAGGACCCTCTCATTCAACAGTGAAGATGCAGGATGACTGGAGACCCGACACGTCACGTGACCACAGATTTAGGGATGTATTTGGGTCACTTAGTTCCTCCAACTAACCTTTCTGTTCAAATTTAGCCCCACAGTTAACTTTGTTTAGAAAGCAGCCACAGCCAGAGTAGAAAAGCCTGACCGCTGCCAGCATGGTGCAGAGAGAGACCCTTGTCCTCTGTTAGGAAGCAGTGGTCTCTCTGCAGAGGGAAGACACACCCCTGTAGAGTCAGACTTACAACTCTTCAAATCAACAAAGAGCATGCTCCCTGCTGATTGGAGAACCAAAGCTCTGACTCAGTAGGAGTTGCATCTGACCTCTGCAGAAAGACCAATGCTTCTAAACAGAGTGCTGCACAGAAGGACCCTTGTCCTATGTTAGGAAGCAGTGGTCTCTCTGGAGGCGTGACACACCCCTGTAGAGTCAGACTTCAGGAGTGTTGTCTGACCTCTGCATGAAAACAGAGTGCTGCACAGAAGGAAAATTGCTCTCTGTGAGGAAGCAGTGGTCTCTCTGCAGAGATGTGAAATGCCCATTTCGCGCTAGACCTATAACTCTGCAATCAGCAAAGTACATGCTACTCTGCTGATTGGACAACTCTAGCTCTTACTCAGCAGGGGACATGCCTGACCTCTACAGAAAGACCACTACTTCCAAACAGCTGCAGAGAAGGACCCTTGCTCTCTGTGAGGAAGCAGTGGTCTCTCTGCAGAGGTGTGACATGTCCCTGTTGAGTGAGACCTACAAGTCTGCAATCAGAAAAGTTCTCGCTCCCAGCTGATTGGAGAGCTCTAGCTCTGACTCAGCAGGGGGGCATGTCAGACCTCTACAGGGAGACCACTGCTTCCCCAGAGAACAACAAATGCAGCATGCTGGCCGGGGGCAGGCTTTTCTACCTCAACCTGTAGCTGCTTTTTAAAGAAAACTAACTGTAAAGCGGCCCATACACCTTACGATTATCGGGCGATTTTCGTATGCGATCGCGTTTGCGTCCGATATTCGTACGGTTGATGGGCAGTGTACAACCGCAAATACTGTACAATCGATCGACTTTTGACTATCCAGCAGGTTAGAAAACTTTGGTTGATGGTACGATTTTCACAAGGTCGGTGGCGTTTCCGTACGTCAAAATTTGTAAGATTTACACTGCTCATGCGCAAACGAAAATCTGTGCGGTCGATTAACGCAATTCGTCCAGGTGATTTTCTTCACTACAGGCTGATTGAACCTTGCGATAATCGGGGCAGGATGGGGCCGCCTTATGAAAATCGGACGCCGGTTCGATCATCGGACGAAAGGTTTCCTCTGATGATGGCAAGGTTTAGCTTGTGATCATCAGGTTTTTGGCTGCCTTTAGACTTTGAACACCTTTTGCTTTGATGCCTCTGGAATGTGTTGAGCCGATTTATACTGAACATTGTTTTGGACTTTAATGACTGGGACCAATATGTAGGAGGTGGGTATTGTCTGTGGGGGTGGGGAGTTCCCTGGCCAGACTTCCCCATTAAAGGAGAACTATGGGGTCAGTGTTTTTCCCCATAGTTCTCCTTAGGGTAACGGGAGGACACAAACTAGCGTCCTCCCGTCACCCTAAGCTCAGTATACCGCGAGCTACAGCTCCCGGTATACTGAGACGCCGCACCTGGAGCGGATCCCGACTTAGATGACGGGATCCGCCCAGCTGCGT